ATTAGTTATTATCACCGTCGTCGGACGTGTGATGGTTTATGTTACAATGGTGTGGATTTGATATTAAAATATTATTATTATTATTATTATTATTAGTTATCTAATTCGTTCTTTGATTTTTTTTTTTTATACTTATGATAATATTTGTGTGATGATAACCAATGACCGCAGATATTATACGATTAATTATGACACGAAATCGAGATTTGATTATTTATAAATTCATAAATTAATTACCTATCTATTAACTGCAGCATTAACAATCTGGTTTGTAAACATTAAGCTTTATTATAAAAGCATACTATACTTTCGATTTGTATGATGTCAAAAGAAATGTAACACAATAAAAGTCTATTATTACCAAGGAGTCGTATACCTAATCTAAAAGTACTTAACTTAATTTTGGATGAAAGAAATGTAATTGAATTATTATCATTATTTATTTTATTTTTTTTTATTTATCTAAAACAGACAATAATATTAAACATCATTAGAATAACTCGTGTTAAATATTATAAACAGTCTCTTAAAGTTTTTTATTTATCAATTTATAATATAAATTAATCTTATTCATGTCAACGAAGCTTAAAATCCGTTTGAGAAGTGTAAATTTGTATTAAACGAATAATAAGACTCTAGATTAAAGTTATATTAATTACTTTATTTATAACTATAGATACCTCGTGGAAAAAATATAATCCACAATAATATATTATATGACTGACATATTTTGATAAATGTAATTATTTTGTGAGTTTTTAAAAATGATAAATTGTTAAATTATAAATTAAAATATATTTCTTAGCAGCATAATACCGCAAAAGAAAATAATATGGTTTATAAAAATTAAGTATAAATTCCTTAATTTATGATTATTTTATTAACTCCAAGTTTATAATTTTGTAACCTCAATTATTGTTTAAATTTTAAAAAAAAATCAAATTATTTAAATTTTACAAGGTGCCATTGTGTTTTTAAGAACACTTAATTTTTACCAAACTGAATGGTGTCGGTATCCCAATAATAAATTTGTTTTCAATTTTATTCGTTTTTATTTTCAATTGCTTTTATAATTTTTCATATTCATATAATAGGCGTGCAAACGGATGTGACCGATTTGGCTATAAATTACAAAATCTGATAACATTTTCGTTTTCTGAGTTGGTAATCTAGTACTGGCATGCAAGTAAATTCCAAAAATGATATTATTGTATTACGACTGTTCAGATTTTACTCAACACTGCAGAGGGGACTGTTGCTGCGACGTTCTTTAAAAAGTAAAATGTTGTCTTTTGGATGGAAAATAACTTTATATTATATATTTATTTTATCTTATTTTATTAACATCTTTGTGTTTATTATGAAAATGAATATTTAAAAATCGTATAAATTCCAAATAAAAATAATATAATAAATTTATGCGCGATACGTAAACAACCAATCATTGTTAATACAATACATTTTCAACATTTTCTAATTATTAGGGTAACGACGACATTCCTTGGCGAATAAAATCACATTTCATATTGACGCTTTTACAGTTACATACCTAATAATATAGCATATAAACTTAAAATTTAATTTAAGACTGGGGCAGCTGAATTTGTGATTTCCTTGATTTGTTTTATTTCATTTCAGTAACCATTTAAATAATATATCGATACCTTGGTTGTATTACATCAACGTTCATACAAGTGAAACTTAAAGCATGTCGTTTAATCTATAAATCATAAAATGGCATTATGCGTAACTCTGTGGGAGAGTAAAATAAGTACAATGTTATTAAAATATATAAAACGTTATTCATATAATACGTATTAATAAAAATAATAAATAATAAAAACAACGCCGGTCGGAAAAAATAATACTAAAACACATAAACTTTATAAAGTGGTTTCCATTTAAATTAACAAAAAAAAGATTTTTGTTTAAAAGACAGAAATATTACAAAAATATATTGTATATAATGTCGATAATTTTTATACTACTAGCACAACATTATTGTCTAATGTTTACATATATTATAAATAGGTATAGTATAAATTATTACAACTATAATAAATAGTAAAACGCATTTAACAGTAAATACCTTAAATAAAAATAAATTATTTCTCAGCACAAGATGAATACTTAAAATAATAATAATTTCACGTTAAATGTAGAAATAATATTATTATATACAGTCGCAAAAAGTGCAACATAGGTATTGCTTTTTGGTAACTATTCTAAGGCATTATATATATACCAATATAAACTATATTTTAATAGAAATAACAATTTTAAAAAGTGGCTTATAACTATATTCATACATTGTTTATTTAATAGAAAAAAATAAGTTCACTATATTATAATAATTATTGAATGGATTATCAAAATATAACTATAAATTAATAATACGTATTATTAATTCTACTTTAAAAAAATAAAATTAACTTATATAATATTACTTTCTTTTAATCTTTGGTAAATATCTATAAGCTAGACAAAATTACTTACTAGTTAAATAAATATTATAATACTTAAACTATTATTATTCATACTTATTAGGTTTGGTAATTATTAATTAATAATGAATAATATACTAAATTAATTACAAAGCAATAATTAAAATTAATGAATATTATATAATATAATACCTAAACATAAATTAAAATATATGTTTCCCCAAAATCGGTTTCTTTTCGTTGTCATAGAAAGCTGTTCAAACTGATTTTTAAAAATTATGAAGTTTAATATAAGATTTAAAATTATAATATATATTAAATAATGCATCCGAAATTACCGTATTGATTAGATAGGTATCAAGATTTCAAAACTAGCGCACGATTATAAATATTCTGAATATTACCTCTAACTGCTACTTCATCGTAATATTATGACGTCCATTAAGTAATTTAAAATTGGTGACCTCGTTTTTAATTTTGATGTTAGTATCGAGTTATAGATTACGATAAAGCAGTAAAAAATTAAATACTTGGTTAGTTGATAACCATTTTTTTTTTTTTTAATCCTTTAACCACGAATTTTCGTTTCAATTGAGAACTAATGAACCGCTGTATTATAGTCTGATTCAGTCGGGATACAATTTGTTTTACGATTTTTGTAAGGTCTGATCTACATACGTATTAAATAGACCGCAGTATTGAAACCAAATGTCTTAATATTTAGTAGGTATAGGTGCCTATACAATTTTCAAACAATGACATCAGAATGTCGTTTTTCTATTACATTGAAACAATATTGAAATAATTGTCTACAGATTTGAAGTGGATCATTTTAAAAATAATATATCTGAATATTATATATTATGCATTATATTCATATTTTACAAAACGATTCATCAATCATGTCCATACACCGTTTTATCTTTTAATCGATTAATGCGTATTGAAGTTTTGATTTATGGAATAACAAACTTTGTTTTTTAAGAGAAGATTTCTATTTTTTACGGTTGAATAATGGTTAAGCAAATGATTTTTCTGAATATTTAAGCGTATCGAAAATGAAATTAGAAGAAGCGATTTTTGATAGGATTTTTTTTATGTGCTCAAAATAATGTATGCTGCAGGCTAATGCATTTTTAATACGTTATAAATGTATAGTAAAGTTTATACTTATAGACATGGAACATAACATTGATTGATAAATACATTTTATAATTTATTTATGAAAATTGTCCCAGAGACATGTATAATAAGTAGGTACTTAACTAAATATTACACTATTATAGGTTATATTTCATTTTTTTGTTTTTTTTTTTTTTATAGCTTTCAGTACCTTTAGTATTATAAGCAATATACAATAAAGTATAATAACTATAGGAAACCACTAATTGTTTGAATTTAATTTATGTTACGTCAAAACATTATTGTAGATAAGTTGATACATTACTGATAAAGAGGGACTAGAGCGTATCTCAAAAGGACTGCATACTCTTCGACTGTCTCAAAGAAAACGTGAACATTGGAATTATTCGGATATAAAGAATACAACCGGGGAATGCACAGTCGGCAAACCCGAAGATATTTTGATAAAACGCCGCATTGTGTTATATTATGAACATACGACCGTCGCGGATTGAACAAAGCCTTTTCTCGGAGTCAATCAAAAAAAAAAAAAAAAAAAAAACGGGGAAAGTTTGCCGAAGATTTACAGTTTCATTGACGTGGACCGTGGTGGTGGTCGCGTTTCCTCCGGCTCAGTTCGTCGAGTGGTTGACTTCCAATGTGGTTGTGATCCTGTACCGCCGGGGCCGCGTTCAGATCGTCCACCTTGCTGGTCGGTCCGTAAGTCTTGACCTTTGAGTGACCCTGTATGATAAGGTACATTGGCCGGCCGGTGACCGACGATTGTCTGTAATGCGAGAACAGCGGATCGGACGCGACCACCGGTGGTGTGGTCCGAGCGGCCGCGGTCGTCGAAGTAGTGGGCGGTGACGGCGGCGTCGGCGTCATAGTGATGGGCGATGCCGCCGTCGTCGTCGACGTCATCATCCAAGCGGCCGCGGTGATCGCGGTACCGGTGGTCGTGACAGTGGTCCGGTCGATTTCGTTGTCCAACAGAGCCTTGACGACAGCTAAATGATGTGACGACGGCGAGACGGGTAACGCGGGCGCCCGAACCATAGTCGGCGGCGGTTGTTTGCTCTCGGCCACCGCGTTGCCTGGGACGTCCGGCGACGACGACGACTGTCGCTGAACATCGCTCGCCGTGGCCGGCCACTGTTGGTAAGGCGGCGGAGTGAGCATCGGCAGCGGAGTCCTGGTCACGGGCGCGGCCGGATGCATCGAGTAGTGGTAACCGGCCGCGGGTGTCGCTTGTAGCGTTTGCAAGTGGTGTTGGATTTGTTGTTGTTGTTGTTGTTGCTGCTGCTGCTGCTGCGGGTGGTGATGGTTGTGCTGGTGATAATGGTGAGGCTGAAGCAGACTGTTGTTGGGCGGCGGCCTCTTGATTGCCGCGTAAGTCGCGACTACCGGTTCCCTTTTCGAGAAATCTGTCAGGAAAAACCGTCGGTTGTAACCGCCGTGAACAGCCTGCGACGGCGGCGTGGTCGGCGTCGCAGTGGACGCGGACGAGTAGAAGTGCGCGCGGTTAGTGGCCGGCGGCGGCGGTTTCCAATAGTGCACTCGGTCCAGCACCGGCGGCAGGTAGTCGAACGTCGGGTCGTTTTTAAGCGGATCGCCGCGGCCCAACGGCGTCCACTCTTCGAAGTCCATCCGCGGCGAAATCACGTTCCGGACGTCCGTCATCGTCGTCCCGGCGGACGTTGAAGCTGCAACACAACAAACGCAATTCATTAGATATCAGATTCCAATAGCAAACACTCGTAATCGCTGTAACGGAATCGATTTGTTTCTGTGGTCGTAACGAGCGGCGAACCGCGCGCAACGACGCATCGTCGAGACTATAACATTATTTTAATATATTTTACACCCACACGCCAGGCGCTGAGGTCGACGAGTCCAACAGAGTTGTTTAAGTCGTATATTGTTATTTCCGTGTTATCGATGAGTTATAATATCGTTTATAAATACTGATCGCCAGTCGGTGACGAATAAACGTACACGGCCAAGTTGAAATTTAGTAAAATCCAGATTCGAACTTATTATTAGTTATTATCACCGTCGTCGGACGTGTGATGGTTTATGTTACAA